TGTCGCCTTGGATGGGGTGTGGCCCCGCAACAACCTGTGAGTCTTTGTGGGGACACAGGTTGGGGGGCAAGGGGCATCCCTGCCAGCATTGGATCTGATGGTGCTGTGGGGGTACCAGGTGTGCTGTCGAGACGGGACAGTGCCGATGCCGGAGCCATGTGGTGGGACGACAGTGCGGCCAGGTGGAACCCGGCTTCTACCACATCAACCTGGACCATTACACCTATGAGGCTGAGGATGCTCGGCTGCATCAGGTAAAGGATGAATATGTCCATGGGGGGACACATCAGGCAGAGCAGGGCGTTGGGTGGCTCTTTGCAGGGTCCCCAAGCCAGTAGGCACCGCTCTGTCTTTTTGGGGTTTCTTCTCACACCCTCCCTTCACCCCAGGGCTCGGTGGTGGAACGTGAACCCCCCACAGACCACCCGGCTTCGTGGACTGGGACAGGCTTTGTCCGCCTGCTGGAGGGCGGCTGGGTGGAGTTTCATGTGAGCAACGTGCCTTTCTCTACCGAGTACGACGTGATCGTCCGCTACGAGCCCCAGGTGAGCCCGGGATGGTGAAGCTGACAGTGAGATGTATTGCCCAATTCTGGAGTAGTGGTGGGGAGTGCTGGCTGGTGAGGCTTTTTGACACAGCTCCCCCTCCCCTGGCAGCACCCAGAGCCCTGGCAGGAGGTGAAGGTGAGGGTGCTGCGCCCCAGCCCTGTCTCAGCCAGCAGCCCTTGTGGAAACACCATCCCGGCCGACGACTACCTCTCTGCCAGCCTCCCCTCTGGTGCCAGGTGAGCTTCTTGCCAGGACAGGGCTGGCCCAAGGCTCACAGGAGTCTGCTGGCTGCCCGTGTTCTGCTTTGCCCTCTCAGGTACGTGGTGCTGCCCCAGCCCATCTGCCTGGAGCGTGGCGTCTCCTACACCCTGCGCCTGGAGCTGGGCTGTGCCACTGCTCGGCAGGATCCCACCGCCAGCGTGCTCATCGATTCGGTGAGGAGTGACCAGGCAGCGGGACAGGGGACAACAACCTTTCAGGGGGACACGACGTGGCCATAGGGGACATGGGGTGTGACGTCCCACTGCTTTGCCACCTGCAGCTGGTGCTCCTGCCCCGTTACTCCTCAGTGGAGATGTTCATCGCGGGCGACCCCGGCTCCATGGAGCGACGGGAGACCTTCGAGCGGTACCGCTGCGCCCAGCCCTTCCACACCGCGGGGCCCTCACCCGTGGCTGAGCCCTGCTCCAGCCTCCTGCACAGCTTCTCTGCCATCCTGCATGATGG